CCAGAGGCGCTTGGGGTGAGTGCGCTGCCGGTCTGCATGGGGCGGGTAACCTTCGGTGTGGAGCAGGTTGCTGTCGGTCAGCGATGGGCTTGGTGGAGAGCTGAAAGGAGCCAGAGATAACCAGTCGGTGCACGGGGCGGGGAGGTTAGGAGTGGCGGAGAATACGATTTCTGAAAACGGAGGCTGCCTGTTAGCGAAGCTAAGTTGGCATTCTCAAAATCCAGTGTGCCTCCCGACATGTTTACTGAAATTTACGGTTTTTTGCATGTTCTTTAGAAGAACTTTTTTTAGTTGTGTGACTTGTGTTAGTGATGTTTCCAATGTGCCATGTCTTGAAATGCTTTTCAGACGAAGGGTACATCGTCTTTTGGTAAGCGACGCAATAAGACGCACACCTTGTGTCGTCGATGTGGATCCAAGGCGTACCATCTGCAGAAGTCTACCTGTGGAAAGTGTGGTTACCCTGCTAAGCGTAAGAGAAAGTGTGAGTAACAAGCTTTTAAATCATTTTACTTCAGAAAATTGTGATTTTTTTTTTTTGTTGTCTTCAGTAGGCTGACTGTTTTCCAACCAAGAAGTAATGCTGTGACATCTGGGAGCTTTTCTCAAATTGATGCTGATTTAATTATATTCTAGCTAACATGTAATATTACTACATAGAAATTGCCCTTTTTTTTTTTTGCATTTCTTGGGTTGAGTTATTGTGCTATGCAACTGTAACGTGCAATTTTAAGTTATTTGGGTCAAATGAGTAACAATAACTTGTATATTTTAGATAACTGGAGTGCAAAGGCTAAAAGACGCAACACCACTGGTACTGGTCGCATGAGGCACCTGAAGAAGGTCTACCGTCGATTCAGGTATAGCATGTTACTGCAAATTAGTGTGGTGTGAAATCATGTGAAGACATCCATAATTATAAAAATACAAAATCTGTTGTTCAAAGTTAAAGTTTTTATTTATTTAGTACACTTAATGGGGTATGGCTTTTCTTTTTGAATATATCATAAAATAAGTGATGCCTTACATATTTGGTTGCATATTCCTTTGAAGGCAAAGAAAACCCTCACTCACTGTTAATAGATAGGCTGTATAAGAAGGTATGATGTTTATTAAGTGTAGATAGCAATAAATTCCCACATATAAAAACCTGTGCTTTGTGTAGTACTACCTTTCATTTGTGAGTCAATTGAAGTGCTGGTTGCACTAAAGTATAGGGTTTTTTTGCGAGAGGCAAGCATCAAAATGCATTCCAATCCCCTTTTGCTCACTAAAAAAAAGAATAAAATTCAGAGCTGGAATAACTTCATTTCCCAAGCAGGAAATCTTTTGGTGAGTTCCTTAGTAGGAATATGAAGTAGAGCTTCCTCAAGTGTGCTGTATTAGGTGCAGTCTTGCAGCATTCACTTAGTGAAACCTTCTTGTTTGAGGAAGTCACATTTACTTCAGCAGAAGAGACCATATTCGAACACTTCTTATTAAGACATTTCTTATATAAAATGCCTGAACGCATGATCTCTGTAATCGTGTCCGTGCATTACTGAGCTAAGCTGAAAAACGTTGTGAACTTGATCTATAACACAACTTTTCAGAAAATTACTTGGAGCAGGAATCATCCTTTCAAAAAATGACAGCCGTATTTCTGCTTGCAGGAATGGATTCCGTGAGGGGACCACACCAAAGCCCAAGAGAGCAGCTGTTGCAGCCTCCAGCTCATCTTAAAGACTCATCTATTTGTTAAAATAAATGGTCTTACTGAGAAAATCTGTCACTTAAATGTGCTTTATTTCAGTGTAATGCTGGATTCCTGAAAATGCATATATTTACACACAGTTTCTTGGTAGTATGCATTAAAAGAATTTCTTAAAAACAGTCCTTTATTGATCTTTCATTTGGTGGCATCTCTGCCTTGAAAAGGGCAAATACTTCTGCTGTGACTGTAGAAAGAGAGGTTTGTACACATTAGTCAAGAGAACTTGCCTGCAAGAGAGATGAAATCTTGTCACTATGGACTTGCCCTGCTTGCCTGAGTCTCCTGTGCCCTAGCATGGAGAGTCAGAATTTTACCTTAGCAGTAGTAACTTGAACACTGGCTGTATGTGCTCTTCTGGAAGGCAGTAGTTCAAAAGTACTGCTTATTTGGTGGGTCTTTGCGTCTTGGGCAAAAAGAAACTCCCAGTCTGGAGCACATAGACTGCCAGGCAGAAAGGGACTGGACATCTGTAGTTGCCTACATGGTCCAGCGAGGTCAGTGTTGAAAACTGATGCACAAGATCTGCATTAACTATGCTGGGTGTAAACAATAAATGGTCGGTAATATGGTACTGTCATGTGGTGTCACTGGTACTGACACAGATAAGTCACCTAGGAGAACATGTGAATCGGAGATTGATGCCTGATTAATTTGTAACTGCATGGTGTGCTCCTGGGCAACTTGGCTGATTTTCAAACTCACCTATAAGAGAGTGATCATAAGGTGCTGTTACGAAGGTATGGGAATCTGCAAATTAATCAAAGAATTATCGGATGCCTTAAAGAGAAAATAATAAAAATACAAACCCTGCTGCTTTCAGCTTCTTAGGCTGTTTTTGCTGTGATTCCTATGGTTTCATGAAGTTCCAGAAGTACCGTGCTGCTTTATCTATACTGAAGGATCAGCAGTTAGGAGTCAACTTGAGCAAATGGCTGAAGAAATTTTCACCCAGGTTTGAAATTAGAGTGCGTCTGACTGCACTTTCTTGTATTTTTTAATTAAGTACAGTTAATGCTTTTGGATACCTGGGCTATTCCTAAACAAAAAGAAAAATCTCTCCATGCTGTTCGCGTGGCATGAACAAAGACACCGCTCACTCTGCTTTCAACTTCTGACAAAGAGGTGAAGCTATTAAAATACTATTTGCGCATACTACACTTGTGCATTCCCAGGGTTCAGGAGTGCATCTGAAACACGAGTTTTCGAGACGTACTGGGAAACCCTTAAATGTAGGACAAAGTAATCATAAATGTATCATTTTGTTGTTATTGTAGAGTGAAAATAACCCCTCAATACATCCTAAAACAGGTCAGTAAGACTCAGGGCTTTGCTGAGCAATGGTACAGTCAAACAGTGGTATGGCAAGTATCCTATGAGTGGAAATGAAAGCCCTTGCTTTGCAAAGTTTTATGTGATCTTTGTGTAGTGGGGGATTTTTGTTCTGAGGAGCTGTACTGGTTTGAGCTAAATAGAACCAATTCAGTGATTTTCCTTTTCAGCTCAGTCTCTTTCCAGAGGCTGCACTTTCTGAAGTTAACAGCATGTTTTTGCAGACAGTGCTACTAGAAATGGTAATGCCTGATGTTTATAGTTAGTACCAGGGATTGTTACAGAGAAAGTTTCTTGTTTATACTTGCTCCTGTAGAAGCCAAGTTCACTACTAAATCTTGACAGAAGCCTGTGACACTGACCTGAAAACATGACATAATACTGTGTGAGTTTAGCTATTTGCTTAGCTCCTCAGCATGAGTTATGCTCCTGAATAACAAGCATTTGTATAATATGCAACATACCATCAGTGATCAAAACTTGTAATAACTTGCAGTAACTGAAAACTTACTTACAAACTTAATTTCAGGAGGAATTTCATCTATGGCAAGATACTTGACAGCCACTACATTTTCAGCTGTTAAAATTCCTGGTGAGAGGCAGGAAATCACTTAATTTGGGTTTATGTTAAACCTGTTCAGAAAAACTCAGGTAGCTCAAGTGTTGTTCATAGCTGAACTAAAAGCTTTACTTGGTGCAGATTCTGAAGCACTTTAGCTCTTTGTAGTGTTTTCTTAAATATTGAAAGTTAAGACTGCCTTGGCGTTTTTTTAGTACATCAATAATCATTTCTGAGATCTTGTTAGAAGCATTTTAACTTCAGGGTTATCATTTAGAGTTGAACCTCTGCATATTGTTGACTCGCAGTTTAGAACCCCTATGGCAGAGCTGCCATACACAGTCTGTAATGTTTGATTACATAGTAATATTGATAGTAAAAACACTACATCACAGATCTGTGGATTGCAGCGGTGGGGAATCTGACCTCTGCCTTCTGAGCTAACATTACTTTAACAGTAGAGAATGCCATGCTATTTAGTGTGATAGTGTTAATTGCCCCCAGTTAAAGAATATATCGTAGGTGTTGATGTGTTGACAGAGTGAGCAGCTGAAACTTTAACTGGTCATTTCTGCTTCAGGACTTCCAAGTGGGATTTGCTACTTGAGCTATAACTGTCTTGCATGGATTCGTGAAGGGCAGTGCTGCCCATGTCTGCCAAGGTGGTAAGTGTAAAGCAATATCCTATTCCAGGGTGAGAGGAGGAAATTACTCAAACCATTCAGGCACTTCAACAAGTAGCGTTTGTTAGAGGAACTATGGCTGCTTTTAATAATCCTATTTGGCCCATTTGTAAACCAGATGGCACCGCATATAAATATGACATTCAGCATTTCCACGACTTAATGAATCAAATGAAACAATCTACTGGTGATGTCTGCCTTGCTGAGTAGTTTAATTTCCTGACAAGATGAATGGGACACATTGTTGTAGAAATACCTTTCCTCCTTCTTTTATACGTGTTTAGTGCACGCCTCTGTAAATTACTCTGTGCTGCACCCTACAAACCTAAAAGGGCACCTCTAACTTTGCTCTAACTAGCGGAAGTAGTCTCCCGAGCGAGGGGGTGAATGTGGGAAAATAACAGAAGATTGGTGAGGAGATTTCTAAACACGTTCAAGTGACTTGCAGGTGGATTGTTGAAAAACACATATATCATACCAATTGTTGTTTAGCTTTGTGTGTCCGATAAGTAGAACATCTGTGCTCAGGTAACATGGGCCTGTGATGGACTCAGAGGCACCTTACTGAACATTCCTGAGATTTCTGCCCTGCTGTGGGAAATGTCGAAGCTCAGTGGAAAACTACACCTGCAGAAATCCCTGATACATAAGCAAAAGCAGCAGGTTCTAAAGCTTTTCACTCTCTAGCAAGGACCAAGTTCCATGGTGCTTAAGTTCCCATTTGCATGCCTCTGCCTGGGTGTTGCTGCAGAGATCCCCTGGCTCACAAGGTAATGAGAATAAACTTAATTTTTGCATTTCACCCATGGTTTTGTGGTTGCTCCTGCATCCTGCCTGTGTCAGCTCATAGACATGTGTGGAATGGAAGAGTTTGTTAGTTTTGAATTACCTGTCCTGTCTGCTCCTTCTCAGAGGAGGAAATTTTATTTTACAGCACCTCAACATGGTACACAAGATTTATCAGTGACCTTGGTTATTGTAGGAGGAAGCATAAGCAAGAGTCTTTCTGCATACCAGTCCTTGGTACAAACTATAAACATCAAGTTCTATCACTTCTAGAAGCAGACACTGTCTGCAACAACATGCTGTTAACTTCAGAAAGTGCAGCCTCTGAGAAGAGACTTAGCTGAAAAGTAAGCCAAATGAACAGAGAATTGTTTCTGCTCTAGCCCAAACCAGGACACACACTGACCAGCTGTGTCAGGAAGCTCTCTTCTGCATTCTTCAGGAACCTCCTCTCTGTTGTACTGTATTTCCAGCAGACATCTGGTAACTTGAAGCCCTGCAAAAGAACAATGGCTTGTAATCCTAAGCTACTTATAGAATACTTCCTCTGCCTCTTCATCCTGGTTGCGTGTTCTGTAACGGCTCTCACCAGCATACTTGCCTTGTTGGCCTTCCCCCCGATTCTTACCCATAAACACACAAACCTTTTCATCACCATTGTCAAGGTCTAGATAGTTAAAATACTCCCTAACAGGCGGGGCTACGCCACCACTTCTCCTTCCTTGTCTATCCCTTTTGAAGGGTTTATAGCCATATGCTGCAGCTCTCCAGTTGTGTGAGTCATCTCATCATGTTTCCATGATTGCAACCATGTCACAGCTTAACAGCTCCACAAGAGTTTCCATCTCTTTCTGTTTGTGGCCTGTGCTGCATGCATCACTGTAGATGCACTTCAGATGAACTATTAATCCTGGCACCTTTTTGGGAAGCCCTGATCCTGATGTGGCTATTCTCGGGTGTTTCTGTGGTTTCTAAGACATCCTTTATGTTTCTGCTGCCGTGTATCCCCATCCCCTAATACCCACTGAGATGGCGAGGGTGCTGTATGGTGATATTTCAAATATGATACGGTGTACTCAGCATATTATGGAGCAGAGCGAAGAACGTCACTAGTACAGTGAAGAGGGTCCCTTTTTGGAGAGCCGCCGGGTAAGACAATCACACTGATGCAGTTACATGCCATTCCAACTTTATTGCTCCAATTAGCCCAATATATATACAGTTAAACAATATGCTTTGTGTTCATGTGCCGAGCACAGGCTACAATAAACTTAGTCTTTGATTATCGTTATCAATCCTTGTGGGTGTTAGATGCCCTTGCTGCAGTTAACATCCTGATGTACGTTTTGCAAAGTTCTTCCAGATACAACTTTGTTACCTCTTTTTAAGCTTCAAGGCGACTCTACGAACAGAGCATTGTTTAAGGTCCAAGTTGGATTGTCCAAACTTTCTAGGCGTATACTGTGTCCTTGTTCTGCAAGGAATTCCCCTACACATCGTTCTGCAAGGATTTCCTCTACAGCACAGTGTCCCTCAAACACTGGCATGCCGTCCCTTGGCTTATAACTAATGACCCTGGTTTTATCCTTTCCCTCTTCAAACCTAGTTTAAAGCTCTTGCAATGATCCCTGCTAACTCTTGTGCAAAGATCTTTCTCCTGCTTTGAG